CGTGAGCACCCCTTCTGCTCTATTCGCCCATATGTTTTGTTTTTATGTTCGTTGTGAATCAAGTTTCCAAATTTTAGGCCTGCGAAATGGGAGGTCCAGCCGACAAAATTTGACCAAACCGACAACTAGCTCTAACTTTATTTTCCCTGGGGAGAAATCAATCAGTGATGTACCCTCTACTTACTCATGACCTCTTCTGAACATTCGCCATAAGCTTGCATGCAAGTCGCGTCGCTACTTTCGCAGGTTTGGCTTTTCCGCCAGAAAAAAAGCAAGCACAACCTCTTGAGATCCTGGTCAAAAAAATTTTTCACAGTCGAGACATTGGGAAACAAGTGGAATGTTAAGAACAAGTCATGTTCCTAGTTAGAATGTATGCCTGATTTGATTTTCTCTCTTCAGGGGAAATTTTTTCCAAAGTAATGCGGTTTTCGTGGACTGAACACCCTATCACGCAGGCCTAAAATTTGACTGATTCACAACGAACATAAAAACAAAACATATGGGCGAATAGAGCAGAAGAGGTGCTCACGAATGGTATATCACTTCATAATAACTATGGTGATTAGGGGAAAAATTTCATTTTAGAAGTCACTCGTAATATCCCCCAGACAGAAAACTACCAAATTCCGTGAGAAGATACGGGCTTGTCTAAGCATCCAAAGGCGGAATGTTCAGAATGGGTCCGAGAGAAGGGGTACATCATTGATTGATCTCCTGAGAGAAAATAAAGTTAGAGCTCGTTGTCGGTTTGGCTAGTTTCGTCAACTGGACCTTCCATTTCGCAGGCTTTTGAAAAAGTTTAAAAAATTCGCAATGATTGTAGACGCCAAACATGCTGTTTTGTAGAGCAGACAATTTTCTTCCGAATGGTTTATGAGATGATATGAAAAGCATAGAATTTTAACTTAATTTTTTTTGTTTGAAGAAAAACGACACTTAATACCTGATCCCATCATGGGGATGTGCCTTTAGAATAGATAAGATTGAGCTATAAAACAGTAACGACATCTGAAATTTTGCTATATTACGCGGGGTTTGGACCAGTCATTAAAACAAAATTATCCTTTGGTGACCAATTATTATACCACCAGTTGGCGCCGCACGCATTGCGCGCACAACACAGATTTTGATTTTTCACCACGAAAATTTTCAAATTTGGCTTGATACACCACGAATATCTGAATTTTCAGCTAAATTCTATCCGCTCCATCATCGACGGCTTTCAACCTCTTTTTCTTCGTCAACCATTATCCTCTTTTTCCGGGTCTCCGGACTGCTTCCGGACAATAAATCTCGTGGCAAACTCCGCCTACTTCGGTGCGTGCTCCGCCCACCAATAGCATTGCCCCCTCCTTTCGCCGACCTCTACCCCCTTTTTCACCGGTCTCTGGGACCTCTTGGAACCAAATTACGACACTTTTGGCAAACTCCGCCCACTTAGGTGCGTGCTCTACCCACTAATAGCATTTGACCTCCTTTCCTCCTCTACTCCCTTTTTCCCAGCCTCCTGGACTTCTTGGAGCCGAGTTATGAATTTTCGTCGCAAACTCCGCCCACTTTGGTCAAGCCCCGCCCACCATTGATAGCTGGCCTCCACTCCTCCACCACCTCTATCCACCTTTTTCCGGCTCTTTAGGACTTCCCCGGCCCGAATTATAGGCATAAAAGGATAAAAGGATAAAGCATTTGCCGTTGATCAATCCCTTTTGGGATGCGGCACGCATTCTACTTCCATTTGTACATTCGTAGTGGCGTTTGAATGCGATGTGGCCTATACAATGACTTGCGGGGGCCAGCCGATGTACAAGTCAGTGTTTTTATCCTCCCAGACAAGTCTGGTACCAATTAACCGACCCCGGAGGGATGGAAGGCTTGGTTGGCCCGGGCGACTCACGACCCAGGATTTGATCCCCGGACCGCTCGCGTGGTGAAGCGCGCCACTTGTCACTACACCACTTTCCCTCCTATCAATTAAAGGGCTTGTAGAAAATGCTGTACACTTCAGAGCGCGCCCCGCCCATTCTGGGCGGGCCTCCGCCCACGTCATGTATGCAGGAAACACCTTAGACATTGCTCCCTTACACCAAATTGTTTTCTGCTCTGTAGGCTTTCTCCCAACCGAGTTATGAAATTTTTCATAAAGCACTGCTTTTTTCGAGGGTGGGTCTCTCCCTTAATTCGATGTGACTTACCAATGCACACCTTTACCCACTTTTTGGCCCAGTTTCAAGGTCGTTTTCTAAGAGAATTGAAAATCTCGGTCGTCAGTACACTTCATGTCGACGCACGCCACGCCCACTGTGGGCGGGGCTCCGCTTAGCTGATGTGTGTTTTGTACTTCGTGAGACCTTGCCCACCCGTCCCACACTTGACCCGGTCCCTCCAGGGATTTCCCGAGGAGCTAGGGAATTTCGTGACAGACATACAGAACCAGACAGAGGGACAGAACGAAAGCGCTTTATAGTAAGTAGGATAGCGGTGAGCCAGAAGAAGTACTCCGTTAGGTAAACCGTTCAGATTGAGACTCAAATCGTCGTTTTAGCGAGATGGCTCCATAAATTCCGACCGAACAGACGTGTGTCTTCGTTTATCTTCAAACAACATTCCAAAGACAAGCAAATCCCCAAGATACCACCACTATCTACTTTTTTACTTGAACTACTAGCCCGAAAGAAACATAACCACAAAAGAAAATAAAGTTGCACCACAGTTATTTATTGATAGAATAACCAGAAACCAACAATACATTGCGAGCGTATAACGAAAAACTGCTATGTCGTGCAAATAACTATTAACTTTGAAGGTGAATATAAACGCTGTTGAGATGCATTCAGAACTCAGTAGGTCGTCATCAGATGCGGCAACCAACTGTTCCTAATTACATTTAGAACAGAAGAATAATTTTCAATGCATTTTCTAGGAACGTAAAAATAAATAACAAGCACACTCAACAGAGCTATTCTCTTCAAGAACAAAGTGAGTGACGGTTGAAAAGAAACAAACGGGCTAAAAGAACCCACTTCACAACTATATCGAGAACGATTCTGGCAATCAGTGATCGAGAACAAAAGCGGAAAATCGCCCTTATTGCGACGGAGGGGGAGGTGGTGGCGGAGGAGCCGGCGCAGAAAGTATGCGAGACAAATCAGCTTGTGGTGCTGGAGGAGGCGGTGGGGAGGTTGGTGGTGGCGGAAAACCACCCATTGGTGGAGGAGGTGGTGGTGGTGGCACAGGTAATGGCATGGCTGTCGCTCCTCCATACCATCCGCCGGAGTAATCTCTGAAAAGGCACAATCTTTAACCAAATAGTAGAACCGGAGAAAATCGAAGTTATTATCGGAACTTTTCGCGCCAAAAAAGGGACATATGCAGACGAACCCTCTGAAACCTCCACGTCCGCGAGCTCCAGGACTTGAAAAGAAACCATGTGGCTGGTATGGATCCGGTGGTGGAGCCATACCGTAAGGTGGCCTAGCACCTGGTGGTGGTGGGACCATGCCGCTCATCATCTGCTGTTGCGCAGCTGTGCCCAGATTCACGCGAATCACTGGTGGTTGATTGTTATTCATAGCACCGCGTGGGAAGAAACCACCTCTCTGCAAGGTAAACCATAAAGGAAATCTCACACAAGAAAAGAATAAGTGTGCTCTCGCTTACCTGGCCCCGGAAAGTGGTTGTTCCACGCCCACGCATCGACCCATCACCTTGTCGAGCTGGACGTTCCCCGAGTTCCTCCATAAGCGCCGAATACTCGTCATCCATCCCACCATCAGCAGCGCCTGCTGCTTCTGCTCCACCGGGGCGCGGATTTTTACAATCTCGAGCAATATGACCAGCACCTTAAAAGGCAACCAGTGGTGCGTGTATTTCAAACTTGAGACCAGCGAAGACAAGATATTTCTGCTAAGAACACTTATGGCCTCATTAAAAAAAACTTACTTCCACAAGCCATACAAACAACTTTGGCAGTAATATTAGGCGCATCCGGACATTCCCATGTTTTATGTTCGTCTGAACCGCAGTTTGAGCAACGAGCACCACTGAAAATGTGCAATATCTCATTAGTAATAGTGGATAGGGATTATTCTTTTTTGTAATTGAGCTGTGCTAAGGCAAAGAGAGTGAAAAGAAGAATACAGGTGAAAGTATGCGTTTCTGAGTGAGCAAAACCAGCACGTGGCGGATGAGGGAAACTAAAACAGTTGATGCGGTTTAGGGTTAGCCATAGCGTCCTTCTCGACATTTTCCATCTGGAGAAGGGGACATCTACGGCTATATTGAACAGCTCTCTTTCTCAACCCAGTTCTGTTCAGGGTCCCTACTTACGCGAAAAAAAAACGTCAAGGCGAAATAAAATGCCAAATCTCCGCCAAATTCAGATACACTTCGAATGGGAAATTAGGAAGCGTCGAAGCAAAACGTCACAAATTTCAGTCAAGAGCTTGACAGGGATCGATTGTGAGAAACGGTAGACGAAAACTCATATGTATGGCCGATGTCAGACTTTGCGATTGGAGCGATTGTTGCACCAATTGCAGGAGCGACGGATCGCTTGAGCGATGCGAGCGACGGGAGATTTACACCGCCGACCACCGATACACACGGCGCCGCTCGGGTAATCTCCCGTCGCATAGCATACATTA